GAGAAAATTCACACACATTCAACATGACTCAGGTCTCTTCCATAACAGGATTCCACGGCAGGATTCCTAGGGCTCACTTGGTAAGGCTATTGCTGCTTTCAGAGGCGGGGTTCTCCAGAGAAACATGTTAGTAAGATATATATATAACTGTGTGGACAGAGATTTATCATGGGAACTGGCTCGTAAGATTGCAGAGACCGAGAGTCCCAGGACCTGCCGTCTGCAAACTAGAGGCCCACAAGAGTTGATGGAGTGATCCAGTTCAAATCTGAAGGCCTGAGTGTCAGTGGAGTCCAGGACAGTCTGAAAGCCTGTGAGCCAGACATGCTGACATAAGAGGGTGGGGGAAATATATGTGACAGCCACAGAAAGAACTGACCCTTCCTGGCCTTTCCCGTCCTGAACAACTGGGTGCCCTCCAACACTGGCAAGGATCCACCTTCTGCACTCATTTGAGACTACTTTCTTCTGGGGAGACCCTCACAGATGACCCAAAAATATTTTAGGTGCATCTGGGCATCCTCAGTCCAAGTGGTCACATAAGATCAACCACCACAGCCAGTAAGGAGCTATCAAGTGGTCCCCTTAACACTTACCAGTTAACTCACTAAGGAGGGCTGGACTACGCACCCCTGGTCTTTCTAGGTGATCAAAGTCCTCATTCATGGATCGGACACCTAGCAATTGAATATCACCCAGTGTTCTTCCCGCCACTCATTCCCTTCCCACCTTCATCTCCTTCTACAGAATCTCATCTTATGATGTAGGCCTCCATCACTTTTAAGTCATACGTCAGCAAAAGAAAAAAGTCCACAGAAGCAAGAGAGGGCTGGGCTTTGTCCCTGCCACTGCTCTTCTCCCCTGGGAAGGAGGGATTTCAGCATATTGCTGATCTACAGCCACATTCCATTCCCGTGACACGCATGTGCAAAAGGGTGTGTTCTTTGAGACACACAAAAGTTTGAATCTCATCTCCACATCTGGAGCTGAGTAGGGAAATTATTTTAGTTAAACACATCAAAATTCAAATCTGTTGCTCCCCAACATAGAGCATTCTTAGTCTCTCAGGACCAAACCTGGTATTCTAAAAAGTCATTCCTGCTGGCACTCGTACGCTTGCCCACCTATGGGCAAGTGCCCACTTCTGATTCATGGACGGGGGAGAAGAGATCTGTTCTTTATTTTGCAGTGTGTTAAAGAGATCTACAGTTTAATTAAAAATGTAAGATAGAGCTAGAAGGAAAATAAATACAAAGTCGAATAGCTGCTGAGACCATGCCTCCTCCTCCTGGCTAAGACTGTTGGTCCTCCCTCTCCCTCCACTGGAATAATAGATACATTCTTTGTTCTAAATGAATTGACTTGCGTTTTGGCATCCTGTGGATTGCTCCAGCCCCAGGTAGTAAAAACTGGGCTGTGGGAAAGTAGTTAGAGAAATAGTCATAGATCAATGTATACATAATTAAAGTCTGAGAAGCAGATTGTTTCCCCAGCAAACAGGTCTAACCCAGAAAAGAGGAAACACGGAGCACCGGAATGGGCTGAATGGTCTAATTGTGTCAGGCAACTGAGAAAAGAGGCTGTGAGGCTCGCCCCATCCTCTGAGGCAGCCAGAATTCCCTTTGAGCCACTTGTGTGAAACACTTCAATAAGCTGCTGGAATCCTCATTACATGTGAACTAGAACATCTTGTGTAGACAAAGCGAGACTTCAAGGCTGGAGGGGATCTTCCCGCTGGACTCACCTTGACCTTGGTGGGATTTTTCCTTGGCATGCCTTCTTTGTTTGAACTGTGTAATCTCAGGTTCCCATCACCACCTAAACCAGTTGTCATTCAGTAACAAGTCCCTGGGGTCTCCTTTGCAAGACATAACTGGATGCCCCCGCTTGTCTGCTGAGCATCTCCGGTAGGGGGTCCAGGTTCCCAACTAAACGTAATACCTTTCCCCATAAGTGTGCCACTCCTCCTGCCTTCTCTGTCCTCAGCAACTCTCTCTGTGGCCCTAGGAAGCCCTGGCCATCATTCTGTGCTGCTCTGGCTGTAGAACTGTAATATGCCCGACAGCATTGCTCACTGTCCTGAATGTTATGTCTGGATCCCAGATCCTGCCATGCCTGCTCACCCCTAGTCATGGGCATGATGGAAGCATGAATGGGCTCCTTCTGATGCTGCTGACCAGACTCACCCATCTTCTCCTGTTATCCTCCATCGATTCTAAGCCTGCATCGATTCTAAGACAGACCCCACCATGCTCTACTTCACGTCGCTCTGACGATTCACTGGATCCAAATTGTCAAGCCTCTTGTTTGAGAAGTTCCACCCACAACACTGCTCTGAGTCCTGAGGGACACCTCCATGTTGATCCTGAGAGGCCATGTCATCCTTCTTGGAATCTTGGTCCAGGTCTGGTGCTCCCCTCTGTATTCCACACATAGCAGCCCCAGACCCACGCTGCTGCCCAAAATGCTATGTATGACTCTCACTGCCTATTAATTATAACACGACTTCTTCCACCTGTATGGACCCCAAAAGCCTGCACCCACCTGGCCGCTCAGCCCCACCCACACAACCTTCAATTAGGATCTAGTCACATGAGGTTCTTCCTTAAGTGAGCCCCACATCTCCCTGCCTCTGTCATTTGCCCCAAATATTATTACCTCCTCTGTCCTCAGTTACCTGCCTTACGGCACTACTGCAAGACTGCTCTCACCACCCCTAACAAGCCAGTCAAATGCTGCCAAGAAGATGCCAGGCTGAGTGGGCAGAACTGACATCATACTAACATACTTAGTATGTTAGTACTAACATTCATAGTTAGTATGAACTAACATCATACTAACAAAAGGCTGAACCTTTTGCATGTATATGAGTAGGGATGTTACAGTGCCGTAGCTTTGTGGGGAGGGATAACCTCTACCAACTATTAGGTGTATGTGTATGTGTGTGCACGCACACGTGTGCATGCATACACATGCTCACATGCATGCGTAGAGGATAGAGGTACTAAGTAGCCAGCTAGTGCTATATCAATGAACCCCATTCCTGGCCCATTTTTCCATTTTGTTGTTTTGAAACAGGGTCTTGCTCAGTTGCTCAAGCTGGCTTTGAACTGGCTCTGTGGTGCTTTGAACTTACAATCTTCCTGCCTCAGCCTCTTGAGTAGCATGAATTGCAGTTCAGCCCCAGGTTTGGCCTTTATTAACTTCAGTCCCAGTTAAAGATCTCTACTGTTGCTGTGTGGTTAGCTAACAGGAAAGACAAAAGTAGTAGAAGAATATTTTTGGCACATGTCAGCTACTGAAGTCTACACACAAACTTCTGACCCTACATAGCAAGTTAGGCTGAGTATGTATCTCTTCCATCCCAGAGCCCATTGAAATTAAAAATAATGACAAAAACAGAAAATATCCAAGAAAAAATGGAGAAAATTAAAAGCTCCAAAGAGTTTCTGGCTCTGGGTAAAGGAGAAAGTATAGAGGAACAGGCACTGGGGAGGGTCAGGCAGGAGCACTAGAGCCCTGGCTGAGCACTGGGGACAGGGGACACCTACTTGATACGGTACTAACCAAACTCACCTGGCCCCGGACTGTACCTGCCCTGGGCTGACAGTAGGACCGGCTTCCACCCTACCTGCTCCTGTCAATGCTCTGTCACTACCAGAAAGAAACCATGTCCCAGCAGCCTTGGTGAAGTGAGTCTGGACAGCTGAGCAGAGGAAATGGTCTCTGAACTTCACCTTGAACACCATGCACTAGCTCTTTAGCAGTATAAACGGTCAATGGTCACCCAGAATTTGAGGGAACTCAATAGCTGACAGGAACCACAGCAGCCAAAGCACTGGACCTAAAGTTCATGGGAAGACATGAGTGAATGAGACTCTCATAGCTAGTGTCCTGGGGTATTCAAGGGCAATCTAGTTGATGACAAAAAAAAAAAGTTCCTCTCAAACACAGCCTACTAAGGAAAAGAAATCAGATAGTTCCCAAAGAACTCAGTGTTAGAAACAGAAATATTCACACATCTAGAAAATTGTCATGAGGTAGACCAAGTTCAACAGAGATTATTACAAAGAGGGATGCTCTATCTCCTTGCCGAAAGACATTGCACAGTCAGAATTAGGGAATCCAAAACAATTTCATTTATCCGACCAGAAAAAAACAAATGAAAACTTCAATGTATGTATTACTCAGGGCTCTCCAAAGAAGCTGGCACAACAGGATGTACAGAGACATACATTGGCTCCCTACCTCTGGGGCTCCACATCCAGAGTCAGACAGCTATGAAATGGAAGCCTTGAAAATCATTTTATCTGTGCTGAATGAGTACAGACCTTTGTTTCTTACATTATTCACTTAATGCAGTGAAACAACTGATTAGACAACCTTCGCATTGCCTTCAGCTATTGTACGTAATCTCTAGGTGACTGAGAGCCCGCAGGAAGATGTGAGGAGGTTATATGCAGATGCTGCGTCTGGGCAGCATCCAATTTAGGTATCCCCAAGGGTTCCTAGAAACAGCCCCTGCAGATGCCAGCACATGGCTATTTATGCGTATGGTAGTATGTGTTACTTCGTGTGTGTTACTATATGCTATAGGTAAGAAAATTCTATGATATGTTTTTTGGAACACTCAAAAATTGACATTTGAGGCTTTAAAAAATTCTTTCTGTAATTTTTAAGAATGAAGTTCTCTGAAATGCTTTTTTTCTATACAATGTAATGAAGCCCGAAGTTAGCAGCAAAGGAAAGACAGCAATACCAGTGCTTGAGCGACCCAAGAAACCAAGAGCTAGCACAGAAAGAAACCACAACTGAGCTGTGATCAAAGGCTCCATCCAGAAACTCCTAGAGTTCATGCCCTGTGGCACACGGAGGAATATTTGCAGCCATGCCCCTTGGAAGTAAAAATAATGAAGTAAATGAGTTAAGTGCTGAACATAAGGTCATAGCAAAACAATCCAAAATCAATAGGAAAAATATAAACACACACATTCAAATTATATAGGAGGAAATTACTTCATGGGGAAGTCAAATAAACAGTTGGTTATTTTTAAAAAAACAAACCGACAAACATCTTTAAGTCAGGCCAAGAAAAAAGAGGAAACCAAGCATAGTAAGAAGGTGTGTGTGCGCTCAGACACAGAGGAGACCAATTACAGGGCACTCCACGTGCAGCTCCAAACAGCACGGATGGAGAAATAAAGGGTACAGGCAGGCTCTTGGGAAATCAAGTATAGACAAAATGAAGCTAAATTGAGAGAACTTGAGTAGCGGATGAGGCCCCAGGCCTGAACCATGGTCAGTTCTCCAGAGCTTCTGTCCTGAACCCTTTGGCCACCGCTGCCAGCCCCCAAGGCACCTCCAGCACAGCTGTGTGCTTTGACTACTGACTGGGAAGCTTCTGCAGGGCACCCAGGTCAGGACGCTGCAGCCCCACGCTACCTCACAGTGGCCGTCACTTCTGCGGTAGAGATGAATCTGCAAAAGCAAGACGAAAAGTTAAGTCTAAGCACACGAGACAAAAACAATAAAATCATCTCATGAGATTCTTACTGGGGAATACGGTGACGTTGGTTAACATTTCAACATTCTCCCATCTGTGCCCTGTGAGGCCATGAACTCGTCTCTCTCAAGATGGGTGCTGCCGTGGAAGACTTGTTTCAGACTTCATAGCTTTCACCTACGTCATGTTTTCTTATGTGTTTATTAACCTAAGAACATTTCTTCTCTCTCAAGGCCCAACTAACCTGTCACGTGACTGGGACCATCAGCTATCCACAGGTAGATTGGGGCCCTTCACTCTCTGCGCTGCCAGTATTGCTGAGGCCTCTCCCCACACCATCCCTCCCCAGCCCAAGACTTTGGTCATGCTATGCTTCTTTTCTGATCCTTGAGTCACTCAAGAATATTCATAACCCATACTCATCTCTGTCTGGAAGGTTCTCCCTGGAGGAATGCGGACCATCCTCCAGACAGCACTACCTATCTTGTAAAAATAATGCAGTTCCCTCCCTACCCCACTCTTAACCATGTTTGCCAGCTCTCTCTTACTAGGATATAAACTCAGTGGCCTAGAGATCCTAGTTCCAGAACACCTATAAGTATCTATTAAACTAAAAATACATGTGGCTAGATGAGCAATGAGTGGGTGAGTCAATATTTGGATGGATGGATGGATGGATGGATGGATGGATGGATACATAAATGGATGGATAGATGGATGGATGGATGGATGGATGGATGGATGGATGGATGGATGGATGGCAGATAGACAGACTTATAAGTTAGTAGGCATTTGTTATACCATTTAAGGTACTAACTGCTTCCTGTCTGTGTCCTAGCATGAATATTCAAAGATAAAAGGTGGCTGCTGAATGGTGGTGGTGCACACCTTTAATCCCAAGCACTTGATAGGCAGAGGCAGGGAGATCTCTGTGAGTTCGAGGCTACCCTGGTCTAGATAGCAAGTTCTAGGACAGTCAAGGCTACAAAGAGAAATCCTGTCTCAAAAAAAGGAGGAAAAAAAAAAACAAAGATAAAGATGGAATCTTTCTAGTTCCTAGATAACTAGATCACCAGCCTTTTGCTTATTTAATTTTATTCATTTCCTGATTTCCCTGTATTTATCCTAAAACGATTCTCAAACTGAGTTGTTCAGAATAATCCCTATTTAGCTTACTATCTCCTTACTTTCTGTGACAAACCTCTACAGCCTCAGTTCCTTTAGCACAATGAGAAGAGGACTCCGATGTCTTTTCCCTTAAATCTAGGCTGATCTGAGAGGTTGACTTGGGCCACAGAATGTGGCAGAGAGCAACCCAGCAAATCCTGACACTGATTCATCAGGAGCCTGGAAGCTTTTCTGTGGTTCTTGGGCTGTCATTCTTGAAACCTTGCTGTTGCAGATGAGGCATCGTGGCCACTTAAGACGTGAGGATAGACAGTCACTAAGTGTCAACAGCATCTTACAGGCCAGTGGCTGAGCCAAACCTACCAGTCCAAGAAAACCTTCAGGTGAGCACAGAGCCAGCTGGTACCTGAGCACAGCTTCCCGCCAATAGGGCAACAAAAGTATCATCTGCTAGTTTAAACCACTAAATATTTAGATACGTTTCTAGGCTGCAAGAGTTGACAAAGCTCTTGTCAACCCACACTAAAATTGAGAGGTAGTAAACGAAAGGTTACTGTGTGGACAGATATAAGGTCAAATACAAAGTCAGGGAAGAGTACGGGGCATGGGATGGAAAAGAAGCCCCTCACCCGGAGTCTGATTGAAGTCTCTCTTCAGTGAGAGGGGAGAATGTCAGTACAACTAACACAATTTTCTATAAAGGAATACAGGAGAGGGATTTCAAATAAAATTTTGAAAATTTTATTTTCAAATAAAAATGGGATTCCTTTGACTCTTGTGACCCTTGTTTTACCTTAGCCTGAAGTTCAGTAGTCATGTTGTGATCTCATTTACAAAATAAATAAACAATAGACAAATGAAATCCCCCAAGGGTACAAATGGCTACGCTGAGAAGCTAAAGTGTGACTCTTAAGCTCATGTGACACACAGGTGAGCTCCATCCTTTCCCTAAGTGCCTCACTCTAGGGACACCTTCCTTCAAACACACACTGAATCTCTGCTGATACACTCTGGCTCCATTTGGACCAAGTCCCCTGCGTTGCTTTCCTATGCTGAAGCTAAGGTTCTACACCTCCTTAGTGGAGGTCTCGGGCCAAGGCAGGCAGCGGCGTGGATCTGTGTGCCCAGCTCCTGCCCCTGCTACCATGACAAAAGGACCCAAGGACCGGGTCATCCCCTCTTAGCTAATCAGACAGCTCTTTGTCTTTCATGGTTCATTGTGTGGATGGCATTTTACCTTGAGAAGTTAGTTTGGGTGCTATAAGTTCAACTCTTTTTCATCTTACATATACATTTTTTTATAATTCGTTCTCATTAAACTTCTCCTGAAACTAAGTAATGTTAAATTCAAATTGTCTTGGGATGAAAATCAAATGCCACCAACATTACAGCTTGCCTTGGGTTAGGTCCAGTCTAAGGAACAAAGACAAAGGCAAGTCAGCAGAGGGTCGCTCCAGAAGGCGCTCCTGTGGAGAAGGCTTGGGCTGCCCCTGAGACACAGAGAGGTTGCCCTGCCAGTGATCAATTCTGTCTGTTAGGATTCTGATGATGAACCAGGGCAGGCCCGGAAGCGCTGAGGTTACATCGGTTTTCTTCGCTCTGCAGCCCCTTTGACATGAAGACTCTGGTGACGTTAGCAGGGGCTTGCCACACAAGGAGAGGATGGGACTCAGCAAAGAACAATCAATGTCCTTTCAAGCTTTGACAACCTCATTCCAGGACTTCAAACACTAGCCTTGATTTCTAAAGCAGAAGTCTGATCACAAGGCTTCCTGTTGAAAGCCTGTCGGACTCCCATTGTCTACAGCAAAACCAAATTCCTTACACTTGAGGTCAAGCTGACCATCAGACACGCACGCACACGTGCACACACACACACACACACACACACACACACACTGCCCCATCCAACCTCCCATGACCAAACACCTTCTTGCACTGATGCACGTATCCTTCTCCATGAAGATGCTCATTTCTAATAAGAGCTCACTTGCAAGGATAACTGATATAGCTTATATATAAGGATATAGCTCTTTTGTTAGACTTCCCCAACTATGACCATACAACCTTTAGATTTTAGAAGTCATTCTAGCTAGTAGTCACACTACCTAGGCCGGAAAAGGCATGAGGCGTCCAGCTCCACAGAAGCAGGACTGAGCCAGCAACTTAGGCCAGAGTGGGCTAAAACAGCAAAACTATCAATCACCATAGAAGGACAGAACAAGATATTACATGACAGAACCAGATATAACCAACACCTAGCCACAAATCCAGCCCTACACAAAATACTAGAAGGAAAACTCCAACCCAAGGAAGTTGGCTACATCAACAAAAACACAGACAATTGATAATTTCACAGCAGCAAATCCCAAAGAAGGGAAAAACACACAAATTAATGTCAACAATGATGAAAACTAGATTAACAGGAGATAGCAATCACTGGTCATTAATATCCCTTAATATAAGTGGACTCAACTTATCTATAAAAGGCCACAGGCTAACAGATTGGATACAAAAACAAAATCCATCCTTCTGCCGCATACAAGAAATACACCTCAACCTCAAAGACGGACATAACCTCAGAGTAAAGGGTTGGGAAAAAATATACCATACAAATGGACCTAAGAAACAAGCTGGTATAGCTATCCTAATATCTAACAAAATAGACTTCAAACTAAAATCAATCAAAAAAGACAAAGAAGAACATTTCTTATTAGTCACATGAAAAATCCATGGAGAAGAAATCTCAATACTGAACATCTATGCCCCAAATACAATGGCACCCTCATGTGTAAAAGAAACACTTCTAGAGCTTAAATCACACATTAAACCCTACACACTAATAGTGGGAGACTTCAACACTCCGCTCTCACCACTGGACAAGTCTGTCAGACAAAAATTGAACAGAGAAATAAGGGAACTAACAGATGTTATGACTCAAATGGACTTAACAGACATCTATAGAATATTCCATTCAATCATAAAAGAATATACCTTCTTCTCAGCACCTCATGGAACCTCCTCAAAAATTGACCACATACTCAGTAACAAAACAAACCTCAATAGATACAAAAAAAACTTGGAATAACCCCATGTATCTTATCAGAGCACCATGGCTTAAAACTACAATTCCAGAAAGCAATACTAATTCCAGAAAGCTCACAAACACATGGAAATTAAACAATGCTCACCTGAATCATCAATGGGTCAAGGAAGAAATAAAGGAATAAATTAAAGACTTCCTAAAATTCAATGAAAATGACCACATAACATACCCAAAATTATGGGACACAATAAAAGCAGTGTTAAAAGGGAAAGTTCACAGCACTAAACGCCTACATAAAGAAGATGAAAAAAATCCCACACTAGTGAATTGACAGAACATTTGAAAACTTTAGAACAAAAAGAAGCAAACTCAACCAAGAGAACTAGATGGCAGGAAATAATCAAATTTAGAGAGCTGAAATCAACAAAATAGAAACAAAGAAAAAATCCAAAGAGTTGGTTCTTCAAGAAAATCAACAAAATAGACAAACCTTTATCCAAACTAACCAAAGGCAGAGAGAAAATATCCAAATTAACAAAATCAGAAATGAAAAGGGAGGACATAACAACAGACATGGAGGAAATACAGAGGATCATCAGGATATATCTCAAAAATCTGTACTCCACAAAATTGGAAAGCTTAAAGGAAAGGGATAATTTTATGGATAAATATCACTTACCAAAATTAAATCAAAACCAGATAAACAAATTAAATGGACCTATAACTGCTAAGGAAATAGAAACAGTCATCAAAAGTCTCCCAACCAAAAAAAGCACAGGATCAGATGGTTTCAGCTCAGAA